TATATGAATGTATGTGTATACACATACAAGTTTGCCCCATTTTTCATACGTATTTCTCATCTACACGTTTTTTTTTCTTTTTGTTTTTATTATCTATGATCTAAAATATTAGCAACGCCCACAGGGCGATGCTGTTAACCACGGCACTTTTTAATCCCGTGCGATACCCTCTATGTCAACTATACATAGCAATATGCCAATAGCCAAAATAAACGTCGAACTTCTTCTAAAACAAATATCGTACAGCTAGAAGTCGTATCGATATCACGATCGATCTTGAGGTACGTATTATCGATCATCGTCGTTATTGTAGATACAGAATCTTATTGATTCTCAATCAATAGCAAAATATGGATCTTTATTTCTTCTTTCTTCTCTTATGCGTCCACTTTTAAAAATAGATTCAACATCTTTAGAATTCTATTGTTAATAGTTAATTAAATTGTGTGACTCATACGGAGCATCGTAATTCATGGAGCTATGTGATCACGACGGTGTCTCTACATGTAATATTTATCATCGGATATTATATATATGTAATTTTTTTTGTTTATTTAAACACCCCATTCCCTATATCGAACACTTCAGAGATACCGTCGCGAACTCGTGAATCTTTTTTTTTTTTTTTTTTTTTTTTTTTTTTTTTTTTTTTTTTTTTTTTTTTTTTTTTTTTTTTTTTTTTTTAAGTTATCTAGAGCAGGGAAACGCAAAGTATACGGGTAATACTTGATTACCTTCGGTGTATACTAATCGCAATAGTGTTATCGTTACAGTTTACCGCATTTCGTAATTAGAATATTCTTCGTAGGCTTGCCCGTTTGATCGCCAAATGTAGATATCTTTTCGACTAATTCTAATCCTTCAACGACATGACCAAAGATTCCTGTGAACCCGCGCATTTCTTGTAATATTATCCGAAATTGTGAACCCACCATACCAAGATTATCATGTCGCTTTTGTGTTCTCCGCATTCCGACTGCTCCTCTTACTGCAGGAAATTTTGTATCATCCGGCATAAAGTATCCATCCTCGAATATGCTTCTTCCTCCGCGACCATTGTTTAATTCAAAATCACCAGTAATCACGGATTCACCCTCCCAGCACTGAAAAATCGTGCAACCTTTATAGCCGACTCCGACTTCACCCGTCGCCAGTACACTAAAATTTTTTGCCATTTTCGGCGCTGCATCTGGCCTCACTTCTATTACGATACGACCGTGTGGAGATCCATTTACTTCAATGTTGAAATAATACAGAGGATAAGGGTTCGAAGGTCCTCGAAGTGATGCTGCTATTCCGCTGGACGGTGGTTGAGAGGATGAGTGGACGGTTACCAAACTTCCACCACCACTACCAACTCCTTCTGGTATAAACGTTGATTGTTGTTGTGGATGTAACATTGCGTTCGGAGGCGCGGGCGGAATAGGTTTAACGGACGGCGAACCAGGTGGAATGAGAAGTTGCTGCGGGGTTGCAGGCGGCGGTGGACCTTGATGTACATGAACAGAACCCGGGGGAGCTGGTTGCGGCTGCATCATACTTGAATGATATTCTATAGAACCGTTTTGCATGTGTTGCTTACTCACTACATGTCTTGAATATAGCTGCGACATACAATAATTTGCGAGGAACAGTATTGGATTTTGTGAAGCCGCCAAATGATTTGGTAATCTACCACCATTACTCGTTCCTTGAGAAATAATCGGTTCTCCCGTATGAATTCCAGCTAATGCTTGTTTCAATAATGCAAAATCAAATACCACCCCAGAGTTACCAATTAAATCATCGAGTTGGCACTGCAACATCATTTCTTGATATTTCGATTGCAATCTTTGTTTCTCTATAATGAGTTGTGAATGCAAATTGTATACATCGCTAGGACTATCGATCATCTGCAAACTAGCTTTCGCTTTTCCAAGAGTTTCTCGTGCATCTGTTATCTCAGGAAAATGACTCCAGCCATTCTGAAGATCTGTTTCAACATGCGTTTTTAATGTTACACAAGCTTCTAAGACTTTTATTAAGAATTCACGTTGTTGCATAGCCAGTCTTTGAATCTCGGTCGATAGCTTTCCCATAGCAACTAATTCCAACTGAACCTAGGAAAATATTAACCATGCATTCTCTGATTCAAAATCAGAATATCAAAATATTTTTTATTTTATATATATATAAAATAGAAAACAAATATATCAAATAAAATTAATTATAAAACTTACATCGGATATGAGTTGTTCTTTGGCATCAGTTTGTGATTTAATCTGGTGACCTGGATGTTCTTGTGGAGTGGCGCATGCTCTACAAAGTGCTGAGCAACATGTCGCACACCATAATGCCAAAGGCATTCCATGTGTGTGACAATTTTCACTCTGTAAAATATTATAACTATAAATTTTATTTCTTCCTTTATATATTTTATATGTAATATTTATATAATAAAAATATATATATGTAATATCTGCATAAATTTTTATTTTCTGTTTAAAAAATTTATCAAAAATTTATCAAATTTTAAATATAAAAATTATACTTTGTATGTTAAAAGTAAATTATTGCAGACCTTATAACTTAATCTTATTACTATTAGAAGTTTGATATGGCTTCAGAACTGTATACTTTCTTTACCATTTGTGTATAAACTGATGAATACGAATAATCGGTTGACGAACTTGAAATCTTTATAAAAAAATATGTTCACATTGTCATGTACCTTTCTCTCCTTATCATTCGTTTTTCCAGATGTGTTGTTTGCGGTGATTTTTAAGTGAGACAAATTATTTGTTAGAGCAAGGAGAGAAGAGTGTGTCGGTAGAGCGTCCGGTCCTTGATCACCTAGATCCGTCCTCTTCCAACAATGTGCACAAAACAACTCACGTCCCTTTAATAAATTGTTTTCTATGCAACGCAAACAAAAATAATGCTTGCAACTAAGATATTTTGGACATTGTTCCGTATCATTATACTTCTGCTTGCAATAACTGCAAAGCGTCAGTTCCTCTAAATCTGTTAAAACACTTGGATCCAGCATCTGAAATATAATAAAATATTATTTATTAATTATTCTTCATAAATTTTATTCTTTATAGTTATACTTAATAATCTTACATTTTCATATATAATATTCGTAAAAATATCTAAAAATTATCCGTACTATTTTATATAACGCAATTATTTTAATTTAGAAATAATGAGTAAAATGAGAATACATGTTTGAGAAATGTTTGTATACGTATATGTGTTTCATTGTACTATATTATTTAGAAAAATAATATAAAGGTCATATTTAATGTACCTATTCCTAATAACAATCGGTTTAACGTTTCACTCTTATATTGTTTTCTTTTTATCTTTTTCTTTCTTCTTTATTCTCTCTTTTGTCGTAATATAACTTATTATTTTTATAAAAAAAAAAAAAGAAAAATATAATTTTAACTTATTGAAATAAATGTTTGATTAATTAATACATATTTCATATTATATTATATTATATTATTCAAACAATATAAATTTCATAGATATTTATTTCATTATTAATACATATGTACATATGTTGTACTTTTGTTTCTAACATATTAATCTGATTATTTGATACAATTCGATTTATCGCATAAATAAATTTAAAATTTTTTTTTTTAAACTAAACATATAGATAATAAAATTTTTTTTAATAATATAACATAAATATAAAATAAATAGAAAAAAAATTAAATGTTAAATCAGTATAATTAGATCTATTTCTTATATATTTCTTTTTTTTTTATTATTTCTTTCTTTTATATGTCATAAAATGCGCCACATAAATTCATTCGTGTTATTTCATAGTCTTGTCTTTAAGCTCGAACTTATTCTTAAAAGGTTAGCTTCTTATCTGACACAGTGTTATTTGACTATAACAGCAAAGTTATTATGCAACAATTTGACTACTAAAACGTAAAAAATGACATTTCATAAGAGAACGCGCATGCGTGCAAAATCCCGCCAAAATGTAAGGGAATAGTCGAAGTTTGGAATTTACCATTCGTTAATGAAATAATATTTTCTAAAGAAGTTAATAAAAATAGTAATGTAATTTTTTATTTTTTTTCATTTTGTAAAATATTCTAAATATCAATACGGATAACCGATAAAACCTTCGGCCATATGATATATGGATTCTTGCAGCTTATCGCCAAGTTCTCTGCGATATTATGCTGTCACTACATATGACAAGTCCACATTTAAGTAAAAATGACTTACAAACTACTGCGTGTTAGACAAATTCTGCGGGAATATTGTAGTTTGTTCTTGCTCATATTATCAGAATGTTTGTACATACATGCTTGTTTTTTTTTTTTCTACCTTTCATTTTCACTCTCGTTTGTCAATCTTACTCTTCTTTCACTCTCTCTTTTCATCTTATTCATATACATATGCATACACTCATTTCTTTTCTTGTACTTACAATAGCATACACACACGCACGCGCACTCATCAACCCAAAAAATACATACACGACATATGTATATTTTTCTTATCATGCATGCAAGCGCGCGCACACATAACATGTATACATACTCTCTCTTGCTCTTTCTTTCGTTGGATAGGAGCGTAAATGTTCCGTACCGTGTATACGATTCGTGATCGTCTCCTTGCCGCGCGATGGAGGCTGATCGTTGGCACTCGTCACTCCTAACGTGTACCGTGACAATGATAATTCTGTAATGTTCGTTCGAATATATGATTTGACTTTAATTTACATCGGGATTGACGTAGTATTGTGCGGTTCCGCACGCAGGAATCGAGCACTCCGACGTTTTTCGTTGCCGCAGTCGCCGTGGAGTTTTTATCAAGCTTTGTACTTTTCACGTTACGTGTTTACGCTTATCGAACGTCGTGAGTTATTATGGATAACATAACGACGGCGCGCCGGTAACGCGGCGTTACTTCAGTCTTAGCTCGTGCGAACGTTTTGCCACATCATGATGTTTGGTTCACTAAACTAACCACTAGCATGGCGGCGACGACCGACCGACCGACCGACGACACACACCACAGCGCGCGCTAGTCGCTTACGCTGTTGCTCTCCTCTCCTCTTTCCGTATGTTACCCCCTCTCGGCAATCCTAAAGCTTTCTCCTTCTCTCTCTTTCTCGTTCTCTCCCTTTGTCTTTCTCTTTCCTTTTTCTTGTACACTTTCGTTCGACTCGTGGCAAACAGTACCGGTGTCGTCTGCGGCTTCTACGATTGCGCGCGCATTTCTCGAACGCTGAATACGAATATTATGGACCTGCCTTCATACTTCATCTTATAAATATCGTTATGTATTTGCTTGAATCAACTAATAAAATTGTATATATGTTATTAAACATTTATTAAAAATATTTCAACACATTTGTTAAAACGTATTTTAAAAACATTTTTAATAGATTTTATTTTAATTTTTTTTATTTATGCAAATTGTAAATAAAAAATATAATTAATTTCTATTTTAGAAAATCAAATATTTTTTTTCCGATTCCTCTATTTCCTAATAATGTTCAAGAAATTCAATAAGAAAAATTTTGAGTTATAAAAAAAATTCAAATTTAATCATAATTTAACTTATATTTAAAAATTATTTATAATCTAATCTAGGATTAATTCTTAATTATTTAATTTAACCTTAAATCTACAATCAGTTTTATATTTCATTTTTATGATGTTATTTTTATTTTTTAACTTTAATCGATATCATAATTATAATTACTTTTATACATTTTTATATGTATTATTTGTGGTTTATAAAAATATTTAATATTTTTTTAAAAAATATCGTAATTACAAATTTTTAAATTCAAAACAATTTCTACACAACATTATTTATTAAGTATTGTAAAAAAATCCATAATTTTTAATGTTTCAAAACAAATTTTAATTTAAAATATTAATAAGACATAAATATACATAGATCATAAAAAATATAAATCGAAATTTTATAGTAAAAAGTTATTTGTATTTCTTTTTTTTTTTTTTTGTTATTACTAGGAAAAAGATTCTTATGGAAATGAAGTGTCAAGGCTAGCAAGACCTTTGCCAGTAGAATATTTATTGGTAGATGTACCTGCATCCACACCACTTACTCCACAGTTTACTTTTTATATTAGCAATACTATTACTCCATTTCCAATTGAAAATAGGTATGTAAAAATAAACAATGAAATATCATATTATTTTGCTAATATTAATTTTATTAAATTGTAGATTCATCGATGGACAAATTCAGGAATTTAGTTCACTTTGTTCTTATATGCAACAATTTACTAAAGGACAATTCTTAGAAGCAGTTTCAGATTTTCATTTGTTAATTTTTATTGCAACTATGGATATGTTTCCAATGAAGGTTATTTTTTATTAAATATTTATCTATTTAAAAATCTTTTGTTATAAAATAAAATATACATGTTTATTTTAGGATCACATGATACCACTATTAGATGCAATTCGTAATAAAAATAGAGAAAAAGCAATAGAGTGGACACATTCGGAACAATGGGCAACAATAGAGCAACTAATATCTGAAGCTACAGCATCAACATCTCGACCATTATTTGATACTAATTCAAGAATTTCATCTTCTGTGCTTGTAGAAGGAAGTGGAATAGCAGTTGGCACAGATCCAATTGTAAATTCACCACCTGATCAAACACTTTGGACTTGTTCACATTGCACTTTTCTCAATGCAGCAGATTTTGCAATGTGTGAAATGTGTGGTTTACCAAGAAATACGTAACAAAAATTCATTATTATATTGCTTTTGTATGCATTTAAGGGTGCTATCCTTAAATTGCAATTTTGCTTCCGCAGGTTTTGTTCTTGCGGATATAAATTGTTTTGAACGCATACTTGGCTTTATTTATGAGTGAATAAAAAAAAGAAAAAATATCTTTTACCAAAACCTACTTTTGAATTATCCTTTTTATAATAATCCTTTATATATGCAATCATAAGTAGTGTATAACTTGCAAAATATAATTAGTTTTTTTCATATTATTATCATATTTGATTACAATTAATTAATTATATTGTGAATCATTATGATTGTAATATTTATATACTAAAAATTTAAAATTCAATATCAAATATTTAGAAAAGAAAATTTATTATTATAGTGTTTAAGTTGCTATAAAATTTATAAAAATAAACATGAAAAAAAGAATAAATATAATAAAATTTATCTTTTAATAAATAAATCACATAATTATACTATTTATTTAAAATATTATTCATATTATACAATTGATACATTTAAAATATTTATTTAAAAAAGAAATTGATACATTAATTATAATATTTTTCATACTTATTACAGCATTAAAAATTTTATTTTCATTTCAATGACATAAAATCTTTACAACTAATTCTAGAAACAATAGAATCAATAAAATTAGAAACATTTAATTCATCTTCTTCAATTTTATATATTTTCTTTATTAAATCAAAGTCTGTAAACTCAGATAATCTTGAAATTGATATCTTTTCTCCTTTTACAACATCCATTATTGTTTTTGACATTAATTTTTTATCATTTTCTTTGCATATTAACATTATTAGTATATTTTTATCATTGTCACTGATTCCAAATTCTATTAATGTACGTGATATATTTTTTGAAGTTGATAAATTAAATAATACTTCAGTATATATATTTTTTGTAGTAATCTGATTCATCCTTGCACTAATTGCAGTTTTATTAGCAGCTATTATTATTTGGAAAGGATCTACTATAAGTGATGCTTTTATAACAGAGCAAGAAAGTTCATTATTCATAACTTTCCTACGTATTTCATTAGAATTTTGGACATTCTCAAATAAATATAATGTACAAAACATTTCTGTTTCAGAATCTAATGATACAGTATAATCACCCATTTCTTTTTATAAATAATACACAATTTTATAAATTTATACACAATAATAGATTAAAAATTAAAAATACTAATTGTAATTATGTCAAAATTACAATATTATAATTACATTTGTTTTATGTATAATACTTTGAAATATTATATTTTCTATGATAAAACTTATTGAAACTTATTTCGAATTAAAATTAATTACATAATCAAAAAACAAAATAAATTTCAAAATAGAACATTGGTTTTATAGTTATATAGTTATTCTATATATTTTAATATTTTCTGTTTATATTATGAAAAAATAATAAAAAAATTAATTTTTTCTTTTTTAATTCTTTTCTATTCTTAATTTAAAATAATTAAATTTTATTATAATATATATATATA